CAACTTTTAGAAAGATTGTTGTCGGGAGTGAATTAGTGAGCAATCTTCTAGATTGTCAATTTGATGCATGATCTTTAGATTTTCTTCATACATGATCCTCAGGATCATTTCCTTTTGGAAATAGTTCACAACCACAAGTCCTTTAGATATGGTGGATCACAAAGTGTAACGAAATACATTCAAGACCTGCCTATTATAATTTGTTTTGGTTCTCTATGGAACAGTTATATCACTATATGTAAGAGATAACTCTTCTCCGATCAACCAATATGAGGATCAAATGGTATATAGGATTTGGGTATATAGTTCACCAAATATATTTTTGATAATACCATAATAGAACAATTGCATATATTATTCCTGGAGGTAACAAAGTATTTTCCAATGTTCCAATTAGGGAATCATTGCATCTTCCTAATATTATCAGCACTAAAATGATAGTTTATATTGTGTTTGGCTAGCAAGGTGCATTGGTGCTCTGATGCATTCACATATGGTACTTCAGGACCTAATGTTTCACTTCTTTCTTGATGTCTAAATGGATCTTTGGTCACTTCTAGTGATCTTAGGATCCTAATGTTATTTGATGAACACAATTTATTCATGCAAAATTACTTTACCACTTTTTTAACATAATTACCTTCGTTGTCCATAAAAGGATCTTCAATCCTTCAATTTAACTTATGTCTCTAAGTAATCAACTGCTTTAGGAAGCTCTTCAGGAGCTCCAATAATAGCCATATCATCAACATAATATGCAATCGTCACAAAAACTTAACTAACACAGATTGATGCAAGCAATCTTTCATTTAATGAAAGATAACAAAACTCACATCATAGTAACATATGAACTAGACAAAGCACACTCATAAACACACACCTCATACTTTAAAGTAAAACACAACGCATAAATCAAGAATTTAGAATCCTTGAAGCGCATATAGACAACGCAACTATATATGCACAATGCAAATGCTCTAATGCACTCTATCCGGATTTAACCTTTTAAGGTCCATTCACCATACTGTTGTAGGTGTTCACTTAGACGAATATTTCACATTCATCTATATTGTCTCAACCCATACAAGGGATTTTCTTAGTCTATCGATATATGTTCTCGAGAACTTTTGTTTGTATCCCGCTAGGTTTACCTTTTTCAGGTGTAAGGACTTCTGGTCCTTAAAATTTATGCTCCTTGAGCAAGTTTCCTGATTTCTTTCTATATTGGCCAATAACATCATCATTTGCATGCATCGATAGAGTTTTACTCTTGATCCTCACTTGTATATATCATATTCAGTACTGAAGTACAACAAATAAATATCATCGACAATGACTTCATTACGGTTCCAGTAATATTGTAGTCTAATATGCTTTTGAGATCTCTTCGCTTCCACAACTTTCAGAGACATGTGTTCTTCTGGAACTAAAATTATACTTTATTCTTGGTTTCTCTTCTTGAGTTTTCATGTCCTCGAGTTGACCATTCCAATTACAACTCATTTTCTTTCTCGAGGATGTTTATCATTGGAAGCGATTGGTCTATCACGCTTGATGCGCTCTTTTAGACATATTTTTTTATAATAGAGTATCCAACAAGGATATCAAATTTAGTTGGAGCATTCACGGCTAGTATATGTGACTGATCACTTTGTGTGGCCAATAAAGACATTTGGTAGTTGGTAATGATAATTCATCTTATGAACTTCAAGTTCATATTTCTTACTATGAGGATCAAAACTAGATGATGCTAACTCATTCCAATTCATCTCTTTGTCTTGCTGTTTTTTCTCCCCCTTAATGTTGGGAAAGTGATTAATAAAACAATAATTTTGCAAACAAATTTCTCATTTGGGATTCATACCCAACACAAATTCTCAATTTCCAACGAGAATCCACTTAAGATACTGTGGTGGAGCAATTGGGGTGTATGCGGCACACCCTGATATTCTCATATGGGAAACGTGAGGTTTTTGACAAAAACAATGTGTAAAAGTGGGGAAACTTATGATAACTTGTTGGTTAGATGCGAACAAATACTATCACTTGCCAGCTAGCATGTCCTTGACTAGTGACCGGAAGGCTCAACTTGTTCCCTTAAGTAAAGTGATGTTTGATTGGATAACCATCAAAATGTATCAATAGTGAGGAAACCAATCTCGCAAACATCGGGTTGCGATTAGATAAAATACATGTGATCATCCATTTGCTGCATCAACCCATAAAATTGACAAATGATCCACATGACTGATGTATTGTTCTGCATACACGTCCATAAAATCTCAAGAGATTTGCCAACTCTTTTACAAGCGATGTCAATTGTTATATTCTCCTTGAGAATGCCATAATAACTCTTTTAGTTGAAGAATACTTTAACTTCTCATATGATGTTCTCATGAATTCTCAAAGATGTTTTTTCACATCATGATCCGGGATGGTCTAACCGGACCAACTGACTGCTCTAAAACACAACACCTAACAATGGCCAAGTGTAACCAATGGAAGGGACTGCAGAATAGTGGCTCAAGTGATAAATATCGAATCCACGGGTCTCTAGAGTTACTATTACTCAGCTTCAGTTTATTATTTAGCAAACCAGATCAAGATGAAAGAACTAAAACTACTCTAGCAAACTACAGTTAAGTTAATCTAATTACAGGTTGGGAACTCACTTAGGTATGATTCACACTAGCCACTAGCCAGACAAACAATTGATGATTTCCAACTTGTTTCACTTTCATTCACAATGCGGAGAATCCTTGACTAGACCTTGAGTCTCGACTAAAGGAACAAGGCCCTCTTGAGTCAATTGCCTAGAGGGACGTATCCTTCTCTAGAACAACTGATCAAGGCGTTCTGAACTAGACTCCCTCTATCGAAAGAGGTTCTCAATCGATACAAAGCAGTGAATCGACCCTCGACTAAAGCAATCGATCCACTACTTTCAATCTATGGTGCTCTATTGACCTAATCAGGTATTCCCTATCATAGGATCAAAGCAGAATCAATAATCTCGACTAAAGCAGAATTGAATCATGAAAACATGCATAGATTGAATATGAACTCAAGATTATCAAGTCAGAGTACTCATACAATCATCCAATCAAACAAACATAGCTAGGGTTCCTCAAAACCTAAGTGAAGGGAAGTTACTCCATAGAGAAGAGAGAGACTGCAATAAGAATCTTCAGATGATCAGTCTTCAAGTCCGGGCTTGTTCCTCGAGCTTCCAAGGCGAAGAAATCCTCCTTCTCTACTCCAAGAATGCCCTCAAATCGCCCTCTCTCTCTTTGGTTCGTCCCTTGGGTGTTTGGGATCCAAAACCCAGCTCCTCCTCTCCTTTGGCTTGAATTTGCGTTAAAAAACCTGATTCTGGGCAAAACACGGTCGAGGGCACGGCCGTGCTTTGATTTTGACCGCCCGTGTTTTGCCCCGTGTTAAAAACACGCTCGCGCGCGTCGGCCAAAACACGGTCGTGCCTAAATATGGGCACGGCCGTGTTTTGATTTAGGCGCGCCCGTGTTTTTACTGCCGAACCTGTTCCCCTATATTCAATGCTTCGTTTCTCCCTCGTCCGGACTCCGAATCAGTCGCCGTTTGATCCCAGACGCTCGTAGTCTCGTCCTCTTTCTTTTCATGACAAGCTTGCATGATTCTTTGTCCATAAAGTGAGGTAGAAATTCATTCTTCTTCAGGTCATGCCCGAGTTTCTTCTCCCTAATCGCCAATTGATCTCTGATTGACTTGAAACTTGCGCCTATGCTTCACTTTATGTGCTAGGACCTGAAATGTGACAAAGGAACACAACCTAGCGTAAAATAGGCCAAAGACGCAATAATTAAAGCTCAAACAATCAAGAAACAAAGGGGAAAACATGTGCAAATATCGAGTCATCAAATCCCCCCACACTTAACCGTTTGCTTGTCCCCAAGCAAACCTAACTCAAACCAATGCTGCTCTCCAGACCTCTATAGCAACATGCACCCTCGATCGTTGATAGAGAATTTTCTAGATCATTTAGCAGCTTACGAGGTCAACCGACGCACAAGTCATCTCATAGCTTCTTCGGCGAGAATGCTAGTCTCGAGTCGGCATCATGGCAAATAGTGAACAGAGGACAAATGAATCGTGGACAAAGAGACTCTAAAAAAAAAATATCATGGACTCACATTTTTCAAGGTGCTCTTATTTTCTTTTTGAAGACGGTTGGAACCCCTTTTCTTTCTGTTTTGCTTGTTTTCTGTTATATTTCCTTTTTTTTTTCAAGGGTCCCAACCTGCTTTTCACAAAATGGGGGCTCCCACCTAGCAGAGGTTTTGCGGGAGCCCGGCTCTTACCGGCCATGCCAGGAGCGGGTGTCTCGAGCCTCGTGCGGGGGAAAGACATGTAAGGGGGCTGGAGGTAGTAGGTGAAAATTGGGAACGAATTCTCGTCTCCCCTTACACACTTTCGCCCTATTCGCACGGGAGACGTTATTCTAAAGCACATTTTCGAGCACCTGTTAAACTCAAAACATGAAACAATAGTCCATGAGAGGTAGAGAGTCCACAACACCACACAATTCAGGGGTCCTAAGATCACTAATTCACTCAATCAACCAACACAATATGAAGAAGAAATGAGACTTCTTAAATGCATCAACATCCTCCATAGTGCTACACTACCTCCCTAGGTTGCATATTACTATAAAGACTGTCAATTCAAAGCATACTGAGCAGGCAATTGCAAGGAACACGTACTTGGAGCCCTCAAATCGAAATTTGGACAGTGGACTAGGCTCCAAGCACACAAACAGTCAAACATTCACACACATACATAATCGAACACCCCCCCCCCCCCCCCCCCCCCCCCCCCCACACTTAAGCACGACATTGTCCTCAATGGAGGAAAGATAAGGAGGGTAGAACGAAGTTACCATATCAACGGTGAATGATGGTGGACGGGTAAGGCGGTGCATTCCAGGAGGACAAAGTAGTCGGAACACAAACACCACACAAAATCTCACAAAGGTTGAATTATTGACTCTGAAATCAAAGAACAAAACTGACTCAACCAAAGAGAAATAGAGAAAGAAATGCAAACCGACTAGTTGGGTTGCCTCCCAACAAGCGCTTCTTTCACGTCGTGAGCTGGACGATGGCTCCTAAGTTTCGGTCCACCCCAAAACCTCCTTGAAGTTGAGGTTCTCGTCGATGAGGTGGAGTCTCAAGTCACGAGCATGTGGTATGACAGGTGATGGAAGCTCGTGCACTTGATGCAGCTAACGTCTCCACCCTCGAGACCTCTTCTTCTTTTCTCTCGTCTCATTGCCCCAAACCAGATATGACAGCATCGATTGACCACCATCGCGTCCACCAAGAGTGACCGATGTCGATGTGGCCTTGGTCTGGCAAAGAGACACTGCAAATGGGTCCTTGCTAAGCAGTTCCTCGAAGTTTGGTGGAGATATCACATATAACTCATGGCCGGTGCAGGCCTCTTCCACCTTAACTCCGTCCTCAGCCTGGACGCCAATTTCTTCTTCAACCTCCCTTCCTTCTTCATGTGGTATCACCCCTGGGAAATGATCAAGAACTCCTCCTGCTTCACTTTCTTCATCCTCCACAACTTCTTTCTGCACCCTTTCTTGCTCTTCTTCTTCTAGCACGGATTGGAGAGCAAGTTGCCAAGCAATTTCTTTCATGAGATCTTCTTGCATCTCCTCACTCATGCCCGCCTCTTCAAAGCTCAGTTTGGGGTGTGGGAAGGTGTGGTCGGCTACGACATGACACTCCTGATCATGATCATCACGGGAGCTCTCCGTGACAACTTCAGTGTGCTCCACAATGTCCTTGTAGCCTTCTTCTTCCTCCTCATCTTCTTGTATGGTAGCAGAAGGGTGATCTGGAGCAGGTTGCGCCCAAGATCGCTCAAGATCATCGACGCTCTTCTTAAGGCTCAGGAGGATCCCCTCTGTTTCACGATAGGCCTGGACACAATGATCCATACTGGAGCATGATCTCTCCATGAGAAGCCTCAAATCATAGTGTGGATCTGGCTGTGGAGTGTAGCATGGCTCTGCAGAATGGCCCGTGAAGGCCGCCATGGGTAACTCCAGCTCCAATGGCCCTTCTGGTTGTGGGAGAAATTCTTCTTGGTAATGAGGTTGTTCTTGATATGCCCAGGGGTCCGGTTGTTCTCCGTAGTAAGGGGGTTGGTACTGGAACCCGAATCCATAGTCTTCTCCGCCTTGATTGCTCCACGGAGTCTCGGGGTAATACCACTCAGGTGGTGGTGGATACCCCCAATGATTGGAGAAGCCATTAGGATCCATGATTCAGATCTGCACCAACAAAAACAAAAACACCCAAGTGAAAAGCAAGGGTGGAAAAGAAAAGAAACGAAAAATGCTAAAGTAACAAACTTCTGCCTTTCCTAATACTCTAGAAAGTCCCCGGCAACGGCGCCAAAAACTTGACTGCTCTAAAACACAACACCTAACAATGGCCAAGTGTAACCAATGGAAGGGACTGCAGAATAGTGGCTCAAGTGATAAATATCGAATCCACGGGTCTCTAGAGTTACTATTACTCAGCTTCAGTTTATTATTTAGCAAACCAGATCAAGATGAAAGAACTAAAACTACTCTAGCAAACTACAGTTAAGTTAATCTAATTACAGGTTGGGAACTCACTTAGGTATGATTCACACTAGCCACTAGCCAGACAAACAATTGATGATTTCCAACTTGTTTCACTTTCATTCACAATGCGGAGAATCCTTGACTAGACCTTGAGTCTCGACTAAAGGAACAAGGCCCTCTTGAGTCAATTGCCTAGAGGGACGTATCCTTCTCTAGAACAACTGATCAAGGCGTTCTGAACTAGACTCCCTCTATCGAAAGAGGTTCTCAATCGATACAAAGCAGTGAATCGACCCTCGACTAAAGCAATCGATCCACTACTTTCAATCTATGGTGCTCTATTGACCTAATCAGGTATTCCCTCTCATAGGATCAAAGCAGAATCAATAATCTCGACTAAAGCAGAATTGAATCATGAAAACATGCATAGATTGAATATGAACTCAAGATTATCAAGTCAGAGTACTCATACAATCATCCAATCAAACAAACATAGCTAGGGTTCCTCAAAACCTAAGTGAAGGGAAGTTACTCCATAGAGAAGAGAGAGACTGCAGTAAGAATCTTCAGATGATCAGTCTTCAAGTCCGGGCTTGTTCCTCGAGCTTCCAAGACGAAGAAATCCTCCTTCTCTACTCCAAGAATGCCCTCAAATCGCCCTCTCTCTCTTTGGTTCGTCCCTTGGGTGTTTGGGATCCAAAACCCAGCTCCTCCTCTCCTTTGGCTTGAATTTGCGTTAAAAAACCTGATTCTGGGCAAAACACGGTCGAGGGCACGGCCGTGCTTTGCTTTTGACCGCTCGTGTTTTGCCCCGTGTTAAAAACACGCTCGCGCGCGTCGGCCAAAACACGGTCGTGCCTAAATATGGGCACGGCCGTGTTTTGATTTAGGCGCGCCCGTGTTTTTACTGCCGAACCTGTTCCCCTATATTCAATGCTTCGTTTCTCCCTCGTCCGGACTCCAAATCAGTCGCCGTTTGATCCCAGACGCTCGTAGTCTCGTCCTCTTTCTTTTCATGACAAGCTTGCATGATTTTTTGTCCATAAAGTGAGGTAGAAATTCATTCTTCTTCAGGTCATGCCCGAGTTTCTTCTATCTAATCGCCAATTGATCTCTGATTGACTTGAAACTTGCGCCTATGCTTCACTTTATGTGCTAGGACCTGAAATGTGACAAAGGAACACAACCTAGCGTAAAATAGGCCAAAGACGCAATAATTAAAGCTCAAACAATCAAGAAACAAAGGGGAAAACATGTGCAAATATCGAGTCATCACCAACCAAATTATCAAGTTATCAAATCTTGTAAACATCTTGTTTACACTTTTATGTTTAATGATAGTACTAATATACATGTAGTACATATTTGTGATGTTGACTCACTTCTACTGTCACTCCAGGAATTGGCCAAGTGGAACCACTTCCTAAAGCGTAGTATAGCGGGTTTAGGTTTAATTATCAACCCGGGTCCTAGATTTGATGACTACTCAGTGAATTCTTGTTATCTAGCAATGAAACTTTAATGCAAGTCTAAACTAACAAACTAACAAAGCAACTAAAGGGGTTGTATTCAGGTTAAGAGAGGTCACCCGGATATGGTTCCCCCTAGACTGCAGTTAAGCCGGATTGTAATTACCAAGTTCAGTTTCTATGATAGTTATACTGCGGAAGGTTCTTAAACAGCCTGAAGTCTCGACTAAAGGTCTTCAGACCCTCTCAATCTGAGTCTCTAGCGGGCGACTAACCTCCACCGGAGTAAACAGATTGAGGCCTTAACAAACAAAACCTCCACTACCGGAGTGAATCCGGTACAGAATAGTGAGTTGGCTCCTCGACTAAAGTCACCAACTCCCTACCTTCAATCAAGGATGCTCTATCAACCTAGGCAGATATTCTCATTCTAGGTCAAAGCAGAAACAACAGGAATTGGATCAGGATTCATGCCATTCAATCATTCAAACCTCAATCGAATATAATCAAATCATAGAATCAGTACTTGGGTTCATACAATCAAAGCCTAACATACAAATCTAGGGTTCTCCATACCCAGATGAATGGGAGAACTACTCCATGGAGAAAGAAGCAAAAGCAGAATCAGACGCGGAATTCATACTGTGAAGGTTGGATTCCTGCTCCTGGACGTTGATCGGCACTTCTCCAAGCTCAAACTGACCTCCAATGGTGATGAAGATCAAACTAGGGCACTTGGGAACTCTTGCTCGTCACTTTCTCACTCTAGGAATTGATCTCTCTCTCTCTAAAACTCCAATCCTTTGATTTTCAGCCTTCTTTTCCCTTAAAACAGCTGCCTGTCGCGATACCCGGTCGAAATACTCGGTCGGGTATTTTGGGTCACGACCGGGTATAGTTAAAACGCACGTTTTGGCCAGGGGAAAATACCCGGTCTCATCCAATAATCCCCGGTCGGGGATTTCTGCCTTTCAGACCGGGACCCCCCCTGTTTCTCAAACGCCAAAAGGGAAAATCCTCGGTCTCCTCAGAATAATACCCGGCCGGGTATTTGTGGTCATGGCCGGGTATTTTCTTCCTCCAGCCCACTTCAATCCTCACTTGCTCCTTTCGACCCGAATCTCGTTCCTTCGCCTCGATTCCAACGCCGGGTCTTGAAATATGACATAAACACACAACCTCGCGTGAAATCGGCTTAAAACCCGAGAGTCAACCCCTCAAACGGCTCAAGAATAGGGGTGAAAATATGTATAATTATCGGTCTATCAAACTCCCCCACACTTAGCCGTTTGCTTGTCCCCAAGCAAACCTAACTCAAACCAATGCAACTCTCCAGACCTCTATAGCAACAAACAACCCAAATCGTAGGTAGAGGACTTCCTAGATCATTTAGCAGCTTACGAGGTCACCCGATGCACAAGTCATCTCATAGCTTCTTTGGCGAGAGCACTAGTATCGAGTCGGTATTATGGCAAATAGTGAACAGAGGACAAATGAATCGTGGATGAAGAGATTCTCAAAAACAAAGGATCATGGACTCACATTTTTCAAGGTGCTCTATTTTCTTCTTAAGGATGGTTGGAACCCCTTTTCTTCCTGTTTTGCTGGTTTTCTGTTTTTTTTTTTCAAGGGTCCCAACCTGCTTTTCAGAAAATGGGGCTCCCAGCTAGCAGAGGTTTTTCGGGAGCCCGGCTCTTACCGGCCATGCCAGGAGCGGATGTCTCGAGCCTCGTGCGGGGGAAAGACATGTAAGGGGGTTGGAGGTAGTAGGTGGAAATTGGGAACGGATTCCCGTCTCCCCTTACACACTTTCGCCCTATTCGCACGGGAGACGTTATTTTGAAGCACATTTTCGAGCACCTGTTATTTTCAAAACATGATACAAGAGTCCATGACAGGTAGAAAATACACAACACCACACCATTCAAGGGTCCTAAGATCACTAATTCACTCAATCAACCAACACAATATGAAGAAGAAATGAGATTTCTTAAATGCATCAACATCCTCCATAGTGCTACACTGCCTCCCTAGGTTGCATATTACTATAAAGACTGTCAATTCAAAGCATACTGAGCAGGCAATTGCAAGGAACACGTACTTGGAGCCCTCAAATTTAAAAATTTGGACAGTGGACTAGGCTCCAAGCACACAAACAGATCTAATGCAGTCAAAAGATAAACATCCCCCCACACTTAAGATCGACATTGCCCTCAATGGAGAAGAGGGAAGGAAAAGGGGAACGATGTTACCGGTGTGCACGGACTGCAGGGGAATGGAAGCGGACCAGTCGGAGTGAAGCGGACTGGAGAGGGACCAGTCTGGAATAAAGCACAGCTAAAGGGGAACATAAGAGCTCAAACACAATATGTTAGGTCCAATGTCAGCCCAATAATACATCATCCAAAACAAAAGAAAACAAACCAAAACCAAACCGGTTTACAATCCGACTCAAAACACAAGAAAGAAAGTCAAACCGTGGTGGGGTTGCCTCCCCACAAGCGGTTCTTTACCGTCTTTTAGTTGGACGCCCATGGTGGATACTCAGGGAGGTGCAGGAACAGGTGCCTCCAAGAGCGGACCCACGTCGCTCTTGAGATAGAGCTTAAGGTTGTGGCCATGCACCTGACGGATGCGACCACCATCATCTGTCAGCTCGACCTGGCCATCCGGTAAGACGCAGGCGAGTGAGTACCCGGACGGCCAGGGTGGTCGTGGTGCAGGGGGTGGGACCAGCTAGTAGTGATCTCCACCCTTCTTCCGTGCAGGCTTAGCAACCTGCTGCTTCGGCCGCCACTCCTCCTTGAGCTTTTTGTTCGGAGGCGAGGCTGGATGGAGTGGCAGCGAAGGAATGATAGGAGGGTCCTGCAAAATAAGAGGTGCAGAAGGATACACGACAGGCTCGTGTACCTGATCAGAAATGGCATGTACAGGCGTGACAGCAATCATAGCGCAGTGATCAAATTCAGTCACAGAAAAAGTATCCTGTTCATTCCCAGCACGCAGGATCAGTTTACCATCATGCACATCAATAAGTGCCTTGGCGGTGGCAAGAAATGGTCTACCCAGAATCAAAGGCACATCCACATCCTCATGTATATATAGAATAACAAAATCAACAGGATATGTGAATGCACCGACCTTGACAAGCAGATCCTCTATGATTCCCCTAGGATGCACAATGGAACGATCAGCTAGCTGAATGCTCATCCTAGTAGGGCTAAGTTCACCTAGGTCTAGCTTTTTATACAACTTATATGGCATGACGTTTATGCTAGCGCCTAGGTCCGCCAAGGACTTGCCTACATGCATGCTGCCAATAGTAAGAGGGATAGTAAAACTCCCTGGATCCTTGCGCTTTTCGGGAAGCTTGTTCTGCAGGATAGCAGAACACTCCTCGCTCAGCAACACTGTCGAGAGATCCCCAATTTTCTTCTTGTTGGTGAGGAGATCTTTCATGAATTTGGCATACTTGGGCATCTTCGACAGTGCCTCCACGAACGGTATGCTGATGTTGAGCTGCTTCAACATTGCCATAAACTTGGCAAACTCAGTCTCCAACTTGTCTTTGTGTAGGCGAGTGGGGAAGGGAAGCTGGGGTACATGCTCCTTAACCACTGGTTGTGGCTTGGGAGCAGGGGCTTCCTTCTCCACCCGCACTTCTGCATCGTCGGCTGGAAGTGCTGAAGCAGGTAGTGGTTCCTCCTGTCTGGCCGGGACAGGATCAGCAGATATGGTATTACCGCTCCTGGTAAAAATGGCATCCAGCTGCTGGAGCTGGTGAGGATTCCGAGGATTCGGAACAGTGGTGGCAGGCAGAGTCCCCGGTGCCCTGGTAGTGTTTAGGCGAGCCAAGATGCCCACCTGGGTCTGCAGATCTTGCAAAATGGTACCCTGGTTCCGCTGACCTGCCTCCAGTGACGTGATAGCAGCCTGAGTGCTAGTCATGAATGAAGCTAGAATATTTTCCAGCTTTGTCATCCGGTCATCTGGAGCTGGAGCTGCTGCTGGCTCGGCAAACTGGCGCTGGGGTTGCTGGAATTGTTGCCCCTGCCTAGGCTGGTAGGGCTGCTGCTGTGGGGCTGGCCCCTGTCGAGCCTGGAAGGGCTGCCTCTGCTGAAAACCACCTGCTGGTGATGGGAAACCAGGTGGTTTAGTGGTGTTGCTGCTCCAGGCAAAGTTGGGATGCTGGCGCCACCCTTCATTATATGTGTTGCTGTACGGGTCGAGGCGGCGAGCATTGGCGATGAAGTCCAACTGCTCTTGGGGAGTGGTAGACTCCCTCATAGCCTGGCAGTCCTCCACTAGGTGATTGGAGCTCTCGCACCAATGACATTGAGCTACTAGAGGTGTAGCCAAACCTCTGTCCGGAATCAGACTGTTGGGCTGCTTCAATGTCTGCACTAGCTCAGCTACCTGCTGCTCGAGCCCGGATCTGGTCTCCAAGGCGTGCACACTACGGTCCTGGGACTGTCTGCCTCGGCTACCCTGTCCCCAAGAATGATCTCTGGCAGCCAAAGTACTGATCATCTGGTTCAGCTCGGGTGGAGTCTTAGTAAGAACATCCCCTCCTGGGCATAAAGACTCAATCACCCTCTAGCTGTCTATAGAGAGAGCACTGTAGAAGTTCCCCACTGTGAATGCATCACTAAAGCCATGATGGGGACACTGCCAGAAATATCCCATGTACCGCTCCCATGCATCACGAAGTGACTCATCTGGCTCCTGGCGGAAGTGAGTGATCTCCCGCTGGATCTCTGTAGTCTTCGATGCCGGATAGTACCTGTGCACGAATTTGTCAGCCAGATCGTCCCAAGAGGTGATGGACAGTGGGGGCTGGGTCTCCAAGCACCTCTTAGCATTCCGCGCCAGAGAATGGGGGAAGAGATGAAGGCGGATTGCATCATCCGGGACACCATTCAGCTTGAACCCGTTCGTCAGCTGCAGAAAAGGGGAAAGATGCACCCTGGCCTCCTCATCCTTCAAGCCATGGAACTGGATAGAGGATGTAATGAGCTGAATACAGCATGGCTTGATCTCGAAGTGATTTGCTGGAATAGGCACGTAGAGGATAACCGGGCGGATGTCAGCAATCCGAGGAGTATAGTAGTACTCCAAGGTGGGATCCGGCTGCGGTGGATGATGAACCCCATGATCCTGGGGTATGGGGTTGTTCCCCAGGACCTGATTCACCGGGGGAACCTGCTGCGGATTCCCCTGGTGTTGATTGTAGTCTCCGTCCATCCCGTGCTCTTCTTCAGAATCGCTACTCAGGTGGCCGTCTATGCGCTCTTCCGTAACCAGTCTAGCTCGCTGTTGTCTCCTGAGCTGGCGACAGGTGCGATCAATCTCTGGATTCAACGGCAGTAAACCTCCTGACTGGCTACGGGTCATGCACTACCTGCACACACTCAAGCAAACAAACCCGTGAAGGCACAAGTGGAACAAAGCAAACAAAGCAAAAAGAAAAGCTAAATTAACAGAAATCACTTTTCTTCAACCTAGCCGTCCCCGGCAACGGCGCCAAAAACTTGACTCACTTCTACTGTCACTCCAGGAATTGGCCAAGTGGAACCACTTCCTAAAGCGTAGTATAGCGGGTTTAGGTTTAATTATCAACCCGGGTCCTAGATTTGATGACTACTCAGTGAATTCTTGTTATCTAGCAATGAAACTTTAATGCAAGTCTAAACTAACAAACTAACAAAGCAACTAAAGGGTTGTATTCAGGTTAAGAGAGGTCACCCGGATATGGTTCCCCCTAGACTGCAGTTAAGCCGGATTGTAATTACCAAGTTCAGTTTCTATGATAGTTATACTGCGGAAGGTCTTAAACAGCCTGAAGTCTCGACTAAAGGTCTTCAGACCCTCTCAATCTGAGTCTCTAGCGGGCGACTAACCTCCACCGGAGTAAACAGATTGAGGCCTTAACAAACAAAACCTCCACTACCGGAGTGAATATGGTACAGAATAGTGAGTTGGCTCCTCGACTAAAGTCACCAACTCCCTACCTTCAATCAAGGATTCTCTATCAACCTAGGCAGATATTCTCATTCTAGGTCAAAGCAGAAACAACAGGAATTTGATCAGGATTCATGTCATTCAATCATTCAAACCTCAATCGAATATAATCAAATCATAGAATCAGTACTTGGGTTCATACAATCAAAGCCTAACATACAAATCTAGGGTTCTCCATACCCAGATGAATGGGAGA